CCTTCCCTCCTTGCATGGTTCTTACTGCTCTCTGCTTCCGCTGACACCCACTGAACTAGAAGCAGTGCCTCTCATGATGCTTCCCCACTCTGGAAGTAGTTCTTGCGTGAGCGTGGGCCTTCTCCCCTAGTGGATGACAGGGTTTGTGCCTCCTTCACCTCTGTCTCTCCAGCACTTGGCACACTGCTTTGGTCTGTGCTCAGGAAATGTTTGCTGAAGGCACCCACAAAGATTGGAGCTGAAACCTTGTTATGCCACGACAATGAGAGTGAAGGCACCAAGAACAGCACGATCCAACCCTGAGTTAGGAGAAGATATTTTCTGAGGCATGCTGTCCCATGGTGATGGGCTTCCCATGCAGACTAGACAAGTGTAGACAATCCTAGAATGGGCCTACCAGAAACCATTCTCTGTTTTCCAAATAAAGAATTTGATGTTTGAAATTTCAAAATGCCTTCACATGATCATCATAGGAAAATTCACAACTGTGCTGAACTTCCTCTTACTTTACAGTTTATAACTGTCCCTATTTTAATTACATTTTGCAGGGCCTAGGGGATAGGGTTGTTCATAATCTTTTCATTGCTTCAGCCTCTAAAGAGCTTCCAATTGTCCCTCTGAGACCTCCCTCTAGCATCCCTCCAGCATCTGAAAACTCTCACCTCAGGGGGAAAAAAAAGTGAAGATTCTATTCTTTCTCAGTTCTGCCAATTCAAGGCATGATTTCAGAGAAATCTCTAAGCCATTGTGTGCCTTGCTTCCTGCAATAGGAAGGTGGAAAGAATAACCATTTAGCACCTCATGACTGGTGAGAAATAGCTGGTGGTTAATGAATCAATGCAAAGGATGTTTCAGATACTGTTTTCATTATAATGCCCCATTTTCAATTGGTGAGAACAGAAGGCCCAGGGGTTGGTAGAGGAAGACATTTCAGGGCCCCAGAATAGAGAAGCCAACTCTTACTGGTCTGGTGGTGGGGGGGGGGGGACCTGGAGAGGAAGTATGCCACCCTACAAAAGCCCCTCCACTTCCCCAGGGTTTCCATGCAACATCTGAAGCAATGACGTTCAACCAGCTCCCTTGGCAGAGTTGTATTTATTTCAAAATATTAAATTCCACTGGGCTAGCCAGTCGTTACAAATAACCCATCTACCCTCATCATCTCTTTTGGAATTAGCCCAGAATGAATTTTTCATTTTTGATACAGTTTCTCTTATTATTTTGAACATATACTGAGCACCTTTATCGATTTGTCTAATGGATGTTAGCATGATTACATTCTGTTCTACGGATGGAGATATATTTTGGTTCTGTAACTTCAGAAGGTTATGGTCACTGCAAAAATGTCCCACCAAGTTTAGAGGCCCATTTAAAAGTGTCTCTGCAATGTATTGCAAAACCATCTATCTGGTAATCATTTATTAAGTGCCCAACTAAGGAGCCCTGGTGATGGTGAGGGTTATAAATGCATATAAAATAAGGTCCCCGCCCTCAAGGAGCTGAATGCAGGATTTTTACTCCACTAGGGGTCTAACTACAATCACTGCATTTTGCTCAACATCTCCTGCTTTTGTTGTTTTACTTATTTCAAAATGCAGGACCTATAGGCAATCCTGGGACAGAGGTACGTGTTCCCTTAGCTGCCTCAACATATCCCTTTGGCAACATTTGGACAGCACAAGGTTGGAGCTGGGAAGAACAGGTCTGTCCCCCTCCCCCGGGAGACCCATAGCAAATGGAACCAAATGGAGAGGCTGTGACTGTTACTCTTAAGCCCTCGGTGAGCTACGAGCCCACCACATCTCCTTGGTGGCTTCTTTTGACCTACAGACTTGTCCAGCAAACTACAGCATTTAAGTTCTTTCTTATTCATTACTTCATTTGATTCTTGCAAGAACCCAGTAAGGCATTAAGTGTATTAACCCCACATCGCAAATGAAGAAAAACTGAGGCCCAGAGATGGGCCAAAAGGTCACCCAGCAGTAAGTGGGAGCCTAAGACCCCAGGCCTCTGGAGATCTCTAGTGTTGCTTGTACCAGCACCCATGCCCACCCCCACCCCCAAGAAGACCACTGTGTTCAATCCTTCACAGTGACCGATGTCACAAAGTTGACTTAATCATTTCCATAAATGCCCCTTTGCCCTTTTCATGAATAAAGAGAAAGCTTTAAGTTTGGAAGGGATTTTCCAGAAATGACTTATAACTTCTTATCTTCCTGACTTGTGCTTTCAACTTAATCTCCGATCTGTTTCTAACTGTGTACCTGGGATTTCTGAATTTGCACAAGCAGATGAGGGAAGGGCACCTGCTTGGTTGGGGTGGATATCTCAAAACTGAAGAGATGCAGGCTTTTAAAGGCACTATTTACATAACAAAATGAGGTGGGGGTGGGGGGCTGTTTGAGACACCATTTTTCTCAAAGGTCATACCCTATTTGATTTAACAGCCAAAACCCTGAACTCAAATGTCATCCCCTAAAAACGTTTTACCCAGTGAAAGAGCAAATGGTTTCCATGAGATTAAACTAGTCAAGGACCTTCAGACATGAAAGAATAGCTATAAGGAAAAAAAGCCATGAATAAACTTGAAATTTTTGCAGTTTTCCCAATTAAACAATGAATGAAACAAATGGACTACGTTAGCTGCCTTCTTTCCCTGTTCCTCTTTCTTATTCATTACTTCATTTGATTCTGAGAGGTCAATTTCAATTATAAAATACCAAAGTCAATTATAGATAATTACCTATTATTATAAGGATGCATTTATTGGGAAGACACAGCCCCCATGAATATGATTGCCAGGAGGGGATCCATGAAACACCCACTGCCATGAAAAATCTACCTGGTACCCCCCCACACACACACACACACATCGGTGAGGTCTACCCTGTGGTTAGATTCCACTGAGATCGCCCAGTCAACGAGGGAAATTAAACCCATTTTATTCACAGGTGTACATTTTTGTGCCATTGTACGTAGGTGGTTAAAAATGATCTTCAATAGAACCCCAAACACAATCAAAACTGAAAGAAAATCAGTTGCTATTTTAGCATTACAACAAGGAAATGCAAATTTAAGAAAGAACTTTTCATTTGCACAGTTCCTTGGTGACTAGGTATTAAAACATATTTGAATGCAGCAAGACACCTCATGGTTTGGGGAGCTCCACATTATAAAAGGTGTGAGTTACAGCCAAATTTCCTGTTTTTTTGCTTCTCCGTTTCTATCCCTTAAAAGTTCAGTTAGATAAATCTAGAAATATTTGAGAAGTGTCACATTTGGAAATTATTCAGGGTCTTGACATCTTAATACTCTTTCCCCGGGGTGAAATCGCCTGCCGTGCCCTTCATTACCAAGGGCATTTTTTTAATCACAGAATCTTTGTTTCTCAAGAGACATTTGCTGCTTCTGTTTATTCCCCCTGAAGTCACAATCCTTTGTCACAGGACAATCATTTCCACAGCAACCAACTGTGATGTCACAAGTAAGGGGAGGAGGAATGTTTAGACAGAAAAGAGAAAGAGAATGTTCTCTTCCACAGGCAAAGGTTTCTGAGTTTTAAAACCATCGCTTCCCTAATCAAAACAGTTTAGCAGAAAGACCCCATGACAAAGCTGCATTTCTTCAGGGTCTCAACTGTAACATAAAAAGCATTTCAGCAGAAGTTGAAGGGCTGCATGTTGTGGGCTTAGGAAGGGGTAGAAGTTTTTATTTTATTTCATTCTAATTCTGTGCCAGTGAAATCTGCCAGTAAAATACATTAAGCATATTCCAGAAAGAGTTGATTTAGCAGATGAAAAATATGTCTCCTGAGAGCAGAGAAGGTACATTTTCTGTCTTACTATCATTTCCATAATAGGAACAATGTTTACATTTCCTCAGCCCATGCAGTGCCTCTAACGTGTTCTTTCACCCTCCAGAGGCAGGAATTGAGGTATTTGAGATTTTATTTTTTAGCTACCGCATCAAGCACTTAAGATCTGACAATTGTGATGTGTATTCTCACTCGGTATTAAAAAATAAAAGCCTCAGTGTTTGCATTTGATTAGAGTCTCTCAGCTTGGTGGCTGATTAGGCAGGAACAGGGAAGGCAACTTTCTTCAGAAACAACATCTCGATTAATGTAGTGTAAGATTATTGACGGGTGTAGTCACATAATTTTTATTAAATTGAAGAGATTAGCTCTGCTGAAGAATCTCACCTTGACAGCAAACTCTAGTCCTAATAATGAGACCTGACACTTTTCAAACCCACTCCAGGGCCCCAAATGGTCTTTTTTTCTAAATACTTGTTCAGTTCAAGTTAGGGAAGAGCTTCGTTCAAATAGTCAGCATATTTACCTGAAATTGAGTGTGCACTGTTTTTTTTTGGAAGGATGATACAAAATCAGCATAAACATTTGTAATGTGAGCTTTAGCTATTTTCTTTCACCATATATGACACTCGAGGTCTTCCTCCAGTTGCCTGAAATGCACACATAGCTTTTTCTCCAGATAGAGGCCATCGTGCCCACAAAGAAGTTATCAGAGAAGACCCTGGAACCCTGGAGCGTAGTGCCATTCGTTCATTTGACAGGCATAAAATTGTTGCCTCTTCCTCTCTGGACTCAAAGTATCTCTGTTATCCCAATTTTCTGAGGGGAAGACTGAGAAAAGATGAAGGAGGGGGGCGGGGAGGGATAAATTTTGGAAATGAAAAACTGTCCTATTCCACAGACTGAAGCAAGCAGAAAGAGCATATACTTGAGAGAGGGGGGAAAAGCACTTTTTCAGAACACAAAGAAGGCAACAAATGAAGTCTATTTACATATTTCACGGGGGGTGGGGGTGGCTTGGAGAGGATTAATTAGTTAATGTTTGGCAAGCTGCGCCCCAAGACAAGTTATGCAGAGGTGCTATTGTCACTTATTACTGTTATTAATTAACGGGGCGAACGCCAAACAAAAATAAGCCCCGCGGTGTGCTTTCATTTCTTAACACCGTGTGCGATGTCTATTGCAGGAGTGATTCGGGAAAGTTACCTCAAAGGCCATGACCAGCTCGTCCCTGTCACCCTCCTGGCGATTGCGGTCATTCTGGCTTTTGTCATGGGGGCTGTATTCTCTGGCATCATTGTCTATTGCGTCTGCGACCACAGGCGCAAAGACGTGTCCGCTGTGCAGCGCAAAGAGAAGGAGCTCACCCACTCGCGCCGGGGCTCCATGAGCAGCGTCACCAAGCTCAGCGGTCTCTTTGGGGACACCCAGTCCAAAGACCCGAAGCCGGAGGCCATCCTCACACCACTCATGCACAACGGCAAGCTCCCCACACCCGGCAACACGGCCAAGATGCTCATCAAGGCCGATCAGCACCACTTAGACCTGGCGGCCTTGCCCACCCCGGAGTCCACCCCGACCCTGCAGCAGAAGCGGAAGCCCAGCCGCGGCAGCCGCGAGTGGGAGAGGAACCAGAACCTCATCAACGCCTGCACCAAGGACATGCCCCCCATGGGCTCCCCTGTGATCCCCACGGACCTGCCCCTGCGGGCCTCCCCCAGCCACATCCCCAGCGTGGTGGTCCTGCCCATCACGCAGCAAGGCTACCAGCACGAGTACGTGGACCAGCCCAAAATGAGCGAGGTGGCCCAGATGGCGCTGGAGGACCAGGCGGCCACCCTGGAGTATAAGACCATAAAGGAGCATCTCAGCAGCAAGAGTCCCAACCACGGGGTGAACCTGGTGGAGAACCTGGACAGCCTGCCCCCCAAAGTCCCCCAGCGGGAGGCCTCCCTGGGCCCTCCAGGAGCCTCCCTGTCTCAGAACGGCCTGAGCAAGCGGCTGGAAATGCACCACTCCTCCTCCTACGGCCTTGACTATAAGAGGAGCTACCCCACGAACTCGCTCACAAGAAGCCACCAGGCCACCACTCTCAAAAGAAACAATACTAACTGCTCCAATTCCTCCCACCTGTCCAGAAACCAGAGCTTTGGCCGGGGAGACAACCCGCCCCCCGCCCCACAGAGGGTGGACTCGATCCAGGTGCACGGCGCGCAGCCCTCGGGCCAGGCCGTGACTGTTTCGCGGCAGCCCAGCCTCAACGCCTACAACTCGCTGACGAGGTCGGGGCTGAAGCGCACACCCTCGCTAAAGCCGGACGTACCTCCCAAACCCTCCTTTGCCCCCCTTTCCACATCCATGAAGCCCAATGACGCGTGTACATAATCCCAGGGGGAGGGGTCAGGTGTCGAACCAGCAGGAAAGGCCAGGCGCGCGCCCAGCTCGGCGAGGCCCTCCACTGCCTGAGTACCCACCAGACCAAGATGGCCGCGGCGGAGCGGAGGACGCTGGGTCCCCCCTCGGGGGCGCAGGGGGACCCTGGAAAATTGGGCCACGTGGTTGGGTGAAGGTTTGCGACGCGGGACTCACCTCCATTCTCTGACTTCACTCTCCCCTCACACCGTGCAGCAGGTCGGACTCACGAGAGACTTAAATTATCATCACAAACATGAGCCAAAAGCACATACCCACCCACCTTCCCACGCATGCGAGCGCGCACGCGCACGCACACACGCTCACCCCACCCACACCCACACCCACACCCACACCCACACCCACATCCGCAGGTGAACAATGACTGCAACATGTTGTCCGTGACTGCACCGGGCGCCTGCAAACAGGGCTGGCGTTCCACCTGCAAAACACAGATACATTTTTAAAAATCATGAAAATTAAAAAGACAAAAAAATAAAGAATTCATTGATAATTCTAACTCAGAACTTTAACAATGGCAGAAGTTTACTATGCGCAGATACTGTGAAATGCCCACCAGTGTTACACCTTTCTGTTATTAGCAGATGAACGCCATGTTGGGCAACTATGTCAGATTTCTGCTCCTCTCTTTTAATGAAATAACGTGACCGTTAACGCAAGTAACTCTTTATTTATTGTTCACCCTTTTTTTCCTTAAGGAAAGGACTCTTCCACATACCATCCAATGAACAGCTCTTCAGAAAGCCCCTTGAAAGTTAAACTATTTAACGTGAAATCCATTAACTGGAATAATTGAGTTTATTTTTACAATAAATTCACTGAGTAAATAAGTTGGAGCTGCAATTCTGAGCTTTGTGTTTGGACTGTCTGATCTCTAGCTAAAGGAAAACGTTGAGAGGGAAATATTTATTTAAATCAACCAGTTAATTTGCTGGTCAGGTCTCTGGCCCTATAACATGCAAAAAATTAATTAGTTTAAAAGTCCTTCCAGATCCTAACTTCTGAAGCAACCGGAGAGGAACTTTTAGAATGACACATCCCGTGTCCCATTGCTGCCAACAATGTGGTTGTCAGTGGTTCCTACTTTCTGTGAAGGCACCAGCTTGTGATACCCATCTCATTTCACCTTGCATGTGAGACAGCAAACAAAATCCACTAAAGGCGTGAACTAATTAATATGCTGGCTGCTACCTTGCATAAATTAATGGTTTGCTCACACGGGTTTTTCGTGGGGTTACATCTGTGAATAGCCTCTTTTCCACATGTAAATTTGTGCCTTACACCCTGAGTTGTGTACACTTGTAAACTGTCGTTATGATAAACTTCCCCCCCGCCTTTTGAAATAAATGCAGCTATTTATTTGACCCTCCCTCCCCCCACCCCCACTCCAGCCCTCTGGAAGATTAGCATCTAGCAGATGGAAGAAGAATGCAATGGTGGTGGTTATAAGCCTGCCCCCTGGGAGAGCTAGGCGGCAGCACACCCTCCAATTCACTTCCTTCTAGTCGTGCCAACTCCAACCACCCTTTGGCCATGCTACCAAGCATGGACACCCGTGTTGTGGGTGGCAATGCCCATTTTCCCTCCAGAGCTCCCTGCTTCCCTGGTATTCTCAGATCATTTCAACATGGTGATATCCTCATTGGCCAGAAGAGAAGGGACTAAAGTCCCAGCCCTCATTTTCTGCTGGATCCACCAGCTGGAGAACACGCTGTGTGCGGTTGCCAGGCACCTGGGAGGTGTCTCCAAGCCATGGGCTCAGCACGCACGGGCCCTGCACACAAAGAAATGACGTGGAAGTAGATGCAGGCAGGCTGGTCCCTGCTGTGATGGATGAGTAACTCCAAGTACAAAGCCAACCACAATGGATGCTGCAAAAACATTGACTGGGGCAGAAGATTTTTTAATTTTTTAACAAATTTCTTCATCCATTTGTTGTTCTTGTTTGTACGGGGCGGGGTAGGGGTGTGTTTCCCCCCCTTGGTTCTCATTAGCTCAAGCACACAGAGGGGTCTATTGTTTACTCTATCATGAACAAAAGAACTGTCAACATAATGTAAACAGTGAGCATTGTTTGGGGTTGTTGTGTTTTTAAATAGTATATTTGGTGGCCTGTCTCTTTTTATTTCCAGTTTGATCTTCTGGGTTTGATCTTGTCTTAAAAAAAAATAATAATAACTTTCAAAGAAAGACTACTGGGGACAATTTTGAGTTGGCTGATGAAAAAGTGGTACCTCCGTAATCAGAGTGAGACCTAGGTGTGTCTCGAGGACTAACGCATTAGCTTTGTGTTCCTGCAAACATCCCTCGCAGTTTTGCTGTCTTTCGGGGTAGGCTTCTGTTGTTTTGTGTTGTTATGTTTTTATTCTGTTTTGTTAGCAGAATCAACGTTCACATCCCATGAACTCTGTGCCCTGAAATCGCAAAGTCTTTTCTAGAAACTGAGATCATTGTTTTTTTCCCTTCTCCCCGAAGTTTGACCCCCAAGAGTATTGACAAGGGAGCCCCCACTCTCGTGTCCCCATGGGTGGACATCATTGCCTCAGCTGTGTTACAGAGACCTGTGTCAAAACTTCCATCCCACATCCCCACCTCCCAACAACTCATCACTTGCGGTGTTCTCCCTAAAATGCCCATATGTACTGAGCTGGTTGTTTGCATTTAAGTATTTTTTTCCCTTTTCTTTTTCTTTTTTTTTTCCCCCCACTGTGTGTGGGGGGAGGGTCCATAAACCTGAGTGTGCCTTTGCTTTCCACCCTTGCTAGACACTGGTAGATGCAACAAACTCAGATTTATATTTGTTGTAAAGTTGTAAAAATATTGTGATGTCACCAACTTTCCTTCCATCTCCACATCCCTTAACGTCTGATTCATGACTTAATGTATGTTGTAAAACAGAAAAAAAAGAAAAGAAAAAAAGGGGGGGAAGACAAAAAAAAAGCAAGGAAAAGGCTCTTTATTACTTAAAAGTAATAAAACAAGACTGTTCTACATTATCGTTTGTGTCCTGAATGCTTTTATGTATCTCTTACTTTTTTCCCTTTTGAACCATACCCTTTTTGGGGTTGGATTCTACTCTTTCCCATCTCTGTCTGGTTTCCAGAGCATAAATAACAATGTGGTTAGACCCGTTTGTTTGCAGTACTCACACCCTGCCCACCCCCCCACCCAAATTATTGATGTGTTTTCTCTGCCTGCACCCAGCCTGGGGCGGGGTTATAGCAGAAGCCACCAGTAATTAAAAGGCAGGGCACGCATTGACTCCCTCTATTCATTTTATGCATTTTCTTTTTATGGGCTTGTTCATCATCAAACATTTATGGTAGGCTTGATAGTTTAAGAGATCAAGGCTAGGATTTTAGTATGTAGGGTCCACTAAAAATAGATCCTTGCACAGATGTGACTTCAGCCTTTTTACATATTAATAAGATGGAGGGTGCTGATTTTACTCCTTGTTAGCATTTCTCTCTTGTAACCCCGAAGAAGACACGGCTGGAGGTATATTGGGATGCAGCCCTGTTATTTTGCAGACTAGCTTTGCGAAATGCCTAGATAAGTTTTCCCCCTCTGGAGTATTTTTAAAAGTTATTTAAATAAGTCCTCACAGTATTTTACTTTCGACCTTCTGAAGTCATTTTTTTTTTAAGCGTTTTAGGTCAGTTTGCATGTGGGAAGCTACGGGTTGGGCCCCGGTTCACACCTATAGTGATCCAGTTACCTTTGGGTATTTCCAGTTACATTTCGTGAATCCCACCCAGAGGGCCAGGTGTGTCAGGCACAAAGTTAACTGGAATATGGTTTCTGGCTCCTCACTTGTAAGGAGAGATGGGCAGGCTCTCTGTAATGGCCACCAGGAGGTAGGAAAAAAGTGCTGAGGGAGTGGCCCAGAGGTTGGGGGCAGAAGACTACATTTGAGCTGGTTCTATTGTTGTTTTTTTTAAAGATTTATTTATTTGTGGGAGAGAGAGCATGTGAGCAGAGGGAGGAGGGCGGAGAGAAAGAATCCTCAAGCAGACTCCATGCTGAGTGCAGAGCCCGACATGGGGCTCGATCCCAGAAGCCTGAGATCATGACCTGAGCCCAAATCAAGAGTCAAACCCTCAACCGACTGAGCCACCCCGGCGCCCCTGAGCTGGTTCTTTAGGGAATGAGCTCTCTGGGCAGCTCGACCAGGCAGAAGGGATGACGTGTACAAAGTCACCAGGTGCGCTGTGACTGGGAGACAAAAGGTTTATCTGGCCTTGAGCAGGGGCTGTGAGAGAACCTGCTGGAAGCAAGGTTGGGAAAGGGGAGACCAAGAGGCGCCTGGTGACTGCGTGCTAGGATTTTAGCGGATGGGCAGCAGGGAGCCTCCCGAGTAGATGAAGAAGCAGACACATGTGTTTGTGCTTTAGAAAGCTACCTGGCAGCAACGTGGAAAATGGATTGGTCCCGAGAAAGGCCGTGGGCCACGGGGCAGTGTGCCAAACGGCATGCCAAGTAGGTAGAAACACCACAAGCAAAAACTCCTTGTCTGATTTCGGATTCTTCAGGAACCAGAACCGAATCAGCTCTGTGACTATCCCCCCCTTTTGCCAGACCAAAGATCTTCCTTCTCCTTGTGTGACCCACAGGCGTGCCCCGCCCAGCTCTAGCAAATATAAAACTGAAAGAATGGGCAACAGCTCGTCTGAATTTATTTCTCAAAAAAATGGGGAAGCTGAGATCCGTTAAATGAAGGGATTTGCCCATGAGCCCAGGGCTGGTGGTGGAGCAGATCTTCCAAGAACAAATTCATTGTCTCTTACCCCCATTCATTTATAACATTAGAGCAGGACTAGCCAGGAAGACCTCACCACACCCACACCCACCCTCCCAACAACCCCACACCCCTGCAGCCCTTAGTGCATGCCTCCCCCTTCCCTGATGGGGCATCCAAATGCCTTTGTCTGGGCTGAGTCGAGGGGGGCACGGGCTGGAGCGAGAATCAGACCGGTTGGAAGCCCGACAATCCCTGCCTTGCAACCTGATCCCCGCCACGGTGGCTCTTGTGGCAGTCAGCTTTGTTCCGGTCTGGTGAAGGGGTGACAAGAACTGAACAGGTGCACCCGGCATTTTCACTGGGGCCCCCGGGATGTCCTCGCTCAGACTCAAAAAGTGCCTCAGATAACGCAGCTTTTTCATTGTGTTTGCTTGCCGGCTGCAGGCTTAGCAGTTTCTGCAGGGGGTTTTAGACTGTCGGCCCTAAGGAGAGGCTGTCCCAATACGGCCAATGGGCTAGGCGTTCTAGGGGGCCACAGCCTGCATCTGAGACCTGCCAGGTTCCTTAAGTGCCGCGTCAAGTAAACCCAAACAGGTCTCGTTGTTCAGCCTTATAATTCAGCCACAAAGTGTGGCCCCAGAACCGAACTGCCCGGAACAAAACCTCCTTCGAGAAAAAGTCATTCAGCAAGTTAGCATAGAGGTATCTGGAAGGCACCTAACAATGTCAGGCACTGGCATGTTTTTGCTTGAGGGAAAGGGGCGAGGGGAATTTAAAAGAACGCCTCCGTAACAAAATAACATGATTAAGAGCACAATCCTCGTCCTGGCTGAACACTGTGACAGCCTGCACTCAGTAACCCTTAGAAACCCCCATCTCACGCCGGTCTTAAACCCAGGTGGTGACGTGTCTCTTGCACAGAATCGGGAAAGAAGGGCTCACATTTATTGATCGGGACTGCCAGACAGATGGGGATCTTCAATATTCCATTTAGAGTGTTGTGTATCTTTAGCTCTAACCACCCCCGGGGATGCCTGGAGGTGGGGGGCGGTTGACCTCCACAGAGGGTTGGGCTGCACTGATGTGCAT